ATATTTATAATTGTTATCTCTACCTGGTGAATCAGTCCCTTAACCAATATGTAGTGTCCTTTCTTGCCTCTTCTGATCAGTTTTTGCTTGAAGTCTAATTTGTCTAAAAATAGGAGAGCTACGCCTACTTGCTTTTAGGTTCCTGAGGCATGGAATATTGCTTTCTATTTTTTTATTTTTAGTCTATCAATTTCTTTTAGCATTAAATGTGTTCTTTGTATACAGCACATTATTGGATTTTGTTTCTTGATCCATTCTGCCAATCTGTGTCATTTGATTGGGGAATTAAGAATATTCACATTGAGAGTTATTACTGAAAGGTATTGATTTATTCCTGTTATTGTTTTATGTTCTTGTTGCTGATCCCCCTTTTTCCCTTCTGCTTAACTGCTCAACCTGTCTGATATGTTCATTCTATTAAAACTTTAAGCATTGTTGGTTTCGTTATCTCTTTCTAGAATATCCTTGAGAATTTTTTTTTTTTTTTTTTGGCGTGCTGGTTTGATGCTGGTATGAATTTCTTAAGGTGCTCTTTGTCATGGAAATACTATACTTCTCCATCAATTTTGAAAAATATTTTTGCAGGAGAGATCATTCTGGGTTGGAAATTGTTTCTTTTAGGGTTTGAAACACGTCATTCCAAGTTCCTCTGGCCTGTAAGGTTTATGTTGAGAAATCTGCTGTAAATCTAATAGGTTTACCTTTATAAGTGACTTATTTCTTTTCTCTAACAGTTTTAAGATTCTGTCTTTGTGTTGAACTTTTGGAATTTTGATTATGATGTCTCTCTCATGGAGAGGTACTTTTCTGATGTTGGCTAGTTGGTATATATACATCACTACCTGTATGTTAAATTCTTTCCTTATAGTTGGAAAATTTTCTGCAATTATTTCTGTAAACAGGTTTTTCTTGTCATTTGTGATTTTTTTTTACTAAATCTAATTAATCTTAGATCAGTTCTCTTTGCATCATCCAGCAGCTATCCAATCCATTTTTCCTGTTCTCTTGTTTTTAAGTTATCTCTTAGGAACTGATCATCCACATCAGCCCTATCTTCTAGTTCTGACCCTCTGTCCTCATTTCTGCTGGTCATACTTATAATATAATTTTTAGTCTCCTGAATTTATGTTTAGTACCTTTTCATGGACTCTAATTCTTTTCTATACTGGTCATTCATGTTTTATATCATTTTGTTTAGCTCAGCTAGCTTTCTATTAGTGTCTTTTGTAAACTTGCCAATAGTTTTGTTAAGATCATTATCTACCTAGTTATCATTTTTTGAGCTTACAGAGCACCTTATTAATATGTTTTTAAATCTACTCTTCGATCATTTTGAATAATTCAGCTGTGTGGCTTTTGATTTTCTTGGCCTTAATGCTCCAAGGATGAGTTTTGGACGTATTGGAACATTTTGGAAATATTTTGTAGCCTTTTCTTCTCATGATTTCATTTTTTGTGTGTGCTGATGTTTATGGGTTGATTATGGTGGAAAAGCTTTGTGGATAGTATGGAGACCTCTTTGGTTATTTTTTTGTTTTATAGTGATGCATTCTAGACCTAGGTAGTTATAGCTCTTTGCCTCTATCCCAAGACTCAATCATCTCCATTAATTTGGGAGAAGAGAATGCAGTATAACTGGCCCAGGAGCCATTTCTGTGGGAGAGGACTGCAGTATTGAGAATGATACAAAGGCAATCCAGGTATTGGCCTGCAGGAAAAAACCCCAATTAATTGCAACAACTATGCCACTCTGGGAAAAGCACAAAATCAGCAAATGCAAAGCCAATAATGTACCACCCTTAACCATAGTAAAAGAAATCTATAATTATGGTATACACACTAAGATAAACCAAATACTGATATATAGTAAATACCTACTAAGTGCAACAACTGTAAAGTTAACTATAGAAAGATTAATAAAACTTATCAGCTTTTCTATTAATGACAAAGGTGGTGGGAATGGGAGAATGAGTAAAGTAGAATTTGAAACCTTAAGCAGTGGAAAATTAGGAGAGAAAATGAATCAAAGGATCATATTAATGAGTAAAATGAAATAAATAAAATTATATTAACAGGAAAGAACAAAAAAGAATAAAAAACAGAGCAAAATGAAAAAAACAGTTTAAAATGTAAGAGAGGACAAAAAAAAAATCCCAACTCCCCCAAAAAAACAATGAAGAAAAAATCAGTCCAAAATTATCTGCTATGTTTTAATGAGTGGTTTCTTTCCATTATCTGCAGTCTTGGAATCCAGCAAGTTACAGTTTTGACTGGTAGCTTTATGGCCTGTGGTTGTGTGAACCACCCCTCCTGCAAGAGGCCTCTCTGTTCATACACCTCAGGCTGTGCTATTCATCCAAGCTGAGGTGTCACCTTGCTCATGCTGGTAGATGGGAAGAGCAATCAGATCACTGGTCTCTGTGTTGGATGTTAGCAGTGGGGTGGGGGTTCCAGCAGGCCACTGGACTTAATGCCAGCACTCTCTGATCCAGCCATCTCTTTTTTCCCTGAGCATTTGGTCTTGTCCACAGTCAGGTCATTCAATCAATCAGCACCTCTGATGAGTGAAAATATGCTCCAATTTATGTGTTTCCATTTCAGTCCAATGTGGGCTGTATGATAGGTGCCCTGGTTCACCTTTGGAATCACAACTCTCCCAGGAGGGTGCTTTGAACCTAGTCAAGGTGGAGAGGCAGCCAGGGTGATAACTCTACAAAGACCACACCCTCCTGATCCTTGATGAGAAACACTTTTTGTGCCCTGCTGGAGAAAAGGGCTCTCAAAGGAAAGAATCATGCTGACCTGGTGCCCTAGCAAGACTACCACATTCACTGCTTATAGTGAAGACTGGAGGTGTCTGCCTGCATTCAGCCCTATATATGTATTTTAAAAGGAAACTTGTTAAACCCTTTATTTTGGGCTATGAGATGATGCATGTGAAAATACATGATAATTTCCAAATATTTAAGACACTATAACGAACTACTATCATTAATATTTTGACTGTTATAGTGATCTATACCATTATAATTCTTCAGGCAAAGTTTCTTTTTGTTTTGCTTTTGGTTTTGCTTTTGGTACCAGGGATCTCAGGACCTTGCACTTTCAAGGCAGGTGCTAGAATCACTGAGCTAAATCCCCAGCCCTTTAAAAGGTCCCTTGACCACATCATTATATGGTCTTTAATAGAGTTCAGATCTTGAATTACTTAAATGAACTCCACCCTCACTGAATGGTATTGTAGGAATGCTTAAGGATATTAGACAATGGAATTGTGCCACTATAGCTTTAGTGAAATCAACAGTATTAATAAGGCCAAATAGGTCTTTATCAAGAATGATTAAACCAAATAGCACAGCACCGTTTTTTTTTCTTTTATAACTATTGATATGTCCTTAGAATAAAGCCACAAATTTAAGTCTGGAAATAAAATGTTAATTATTTTAATTAAGAGTGCATTTATATATAGCTATTTGCCTTTTGCTAAAGTACTTGAAGTATGAGAAGCAGTTTGTTGATAATAATGCTTGTCACATACAGGAAACTCGAGTAAAAGACTTCCAAGATATCCTCTATTAAACATGGAAGTCACTCTCCATAAAGCATTTCCATATTAAAACTCCTGTAGTATTATCAGTTAATTCACTGGTCATATGAAATTAAGCACAGTAAAAGGGTTTCAACTCTCCTGCCAATAGTCATTGATTGGTAGTAGTTGCTGGGGGCACTTTGCTGAAAAGGACTGTGATGGCAAAATCAACTGCTAAGCAAAGATCATGGATGTGTGCATATGAGGGAGGTGGTGGGGGATTAGCAGCCTCTATAAAGTTACAGTCATGGCTCTATATAAGGGTAAACCCTTATTAAGCACAGGCCCAAGTTATTTATTTATTCATTTGTCTATCACTCACTTTTTCAAAAAAAGATCTACTACAAAATATAGGTAACATTAAAAGATAAACAAGACATGGGCCCGGGGATTTAGCTCAGTGGTTTCGCTGCCTGCTGCGCAAGCGCAAGGACCCGAGTTCGATCCCTGGTACCACAAAAAATAAAATAAAATAAAATAAATAAAAAGATAAAGAAGACAAAAAGCTAAATGTGGTGGTCCATACCTGTAATTCCAGCTTCTCAGGAGTCTATGGCAGGATAATCACAAGTTTTAGTCTAGCTCGGGCAACTTAGTGAGACCCTATCTCAAAATATAAAATTTTAAAGGAGTGGGGATGTAGCTCAGTGGTAGTGGTGCAGCATGTACAACTCTCTGGGTTCAGTCACCACCACCACCCCCTCCCCCGCCAAAAAAGGAAATTAAGGCAAAAGGAAAATAAGATCTAATAATAAGTTAGGATCGCTAACAAATGTAAGCTATAAATCTGGCAAACTTAGGAAAGGTGGCTTAAAATTTGACTCTGAGTTTCCCAATAACCACATTAAAAATGGTAGATAATGATTTTGCAAGACCCAGACTGTGTAAGAATATTAGGCAGGTCATAAAAGTGAAACGGAGCATAGACATTTTGGTATAAAAGAAGTGGAATGAGAAGACTTGAACTTTAATCTTAAGTCTTCCATTTAGTAGCCATGCTACTTCCTGTGAGTTATTTAAACTCAGCTATTTCAAATGCCCCTGCAAGATTTGGATAATAATGCTGTGCTATGATTTGGATCTTAAGTGTCCCCCAAGGTTGATGTGGTAAAGACTTAATTCCCAGGATGGCACCGTTGGGAAGTGGTGAGACTTTAAGATATGGGACTGGGTGAGAGGCCTTTGGGTCACTAGGGCTAACCCTCAACCACCAGGATGTCCTTCCTCATCAAAACAACAGGAACAATAAATCAGGGACTTAAAAACCCTAAAACTGTGAGCCAAAATTAAACCTTTTCTTCTTATAAGTTGATTATCTCAGATATTTGTTGTAGTGTTGGAAGGATAACTAATGCTGCTACTTCATGAATCGCTCTAACATTAAATGATTATTCTCATATGTTCCCTTCAGGCATCTGTGGCCCTCACTTCTCTGCCAGACTCCATGTCCCGAAGGCTGACCTTGCAGAGTGCACCACCTGGGCTACCTGTTCAGTTCAACCAACAAGAATTGTCCTCTTCCACTGCCTCAATGCTAAGGATCCAACTGTGGCTTCTCCTTTTATAACAACTCCTGATAGACTCTTACCATAACACCAGCTCTCCCTAAGATCCAAAAACATGATTGCCTCCCCTGTTCCTTTAGGCCTAACAGTAATATCATCTTCTTCTTACAGCCATACGTGGGTGCCGTAGGATCCCTTGCTGATGTGATCCATTCATAGTTCTATATAAGGTGCCTTCATTCAATTCTCATCAGAGCCTAATGTGACTGTGCATTTTCATCTTGCCAGGCCCCTGAGTGATATAACAAATACTTATAACAGACGGAAATGGTGGAGGACAAGGGACCCCACTTCAGAGCCCCTACCATAGGCCAAGCAGACAGCCAAGTAATTTTATGGTTGATAATAAATGTCAATCACTCTGAAGAAAGGGGTGTGAGGCAGGGTAAGACAAAGCGGGTGTCACAGGAATTTGAGACATAGGTTTCAGATCCTTGCCATTAGGTACTCCTATTTCCCCAACTCAGAATTTGATAAAAGAAGGAGAATCAGAACTAATCCATTCAGTTAGCCTGAATAACAGAAATGCTAGAGTGTAAAATGTAGATGTAAAATATTCTTCCAAGTTTGAATGCAATTTAAATAGAAAGAGTGAAGGAAAGAGCAAGTATTTAACTTTTTTTTTGTACCATTCTATGTACCTTAGTGTAGCACAGAGGTGAGCAGACATAAACATGATTAATGAAGTGACTAATGTCCTCACTTAAATCTCTGGAATGGTTTACAATTTTAAAAGGGTATACCATCAAAAGGATGTGTTCCCCCCCTTCACACACACACACACACACACACACACACACACACACACGTTTAAGCATGACTTAAATAATAGAAAAAATAGTAACCAGTGGCAAGTGTCTAGCACAGGAATGATGACGGGTCCTGAGTGCTGTGGATTGGATCGGGAATGTGCTCTAAAGGCCCATATTCACAGCCTCGGTCTATAGCGTGGTCCTATTGAGAGGTTGGGGCAACACTAAGGGGTGAGGCCTCATGGGACGTTTTAGGTCACTGAGGCTGCACTTGATGGGGATTGTGGACCCTGGAATCTTTTTCTTTTTCTTTTGGTTCCCAGCCATGAGCAAATAGCTTTGCTCCTCCTCCCTGCTCTCCTACCAGGATGTGCTGCTCTGCCACAGGTCCAAAAGTAATGAGGCCAACCAACTATGGACTGAAGCTTCCTAAACTGTGAGCCAAACAAAACCTTTCTTGTGATAAATTGATCATCTCAGATATTTGTTTTAGTAATGGATATCTAAGATAGAAAATTCTGGGTTAGGCCTTAGCAACCACCACAGTTAGATGATTCAAAGGTTATCTTATTAAAATATTCTAAGTATCAGTTCTGTCAGGAAAAAATAACTGCGATCTTTTTTATCAATATTTTTTCTTTTTTTGCAAGTTTTTTTAAAAAGTAGAACAGAAAAGGTACTTTAGATCCTTTGTGCACAACCTATAACCAAACAAAATAACCACAGCCTAGGGGAGAATGTAAAATGTAAAGGACTCATAAAGTACAATGTTTTGCATTTCTCTTTTTTGTTTTCATCCTGCTTTGATTTTCAACATGTGTAAATCATTCTGTTACCATAAACTTAATGAAGTAAAAGAGCAAAGATCAAAAATGTAATAATAAAGTAAAGTTTTAATGACTTACATTTTTGGCCTGATCAGGTTGATTATATTTGATATACAGTCCAAGGGTTTGTATTTTAGATGAAACTTTTCTGAAGACTGTTCATGTGTTCCAGATGTGACCTAGTTTTTTTCTGGGAAATGAATACTAAGCATGGCACAGGCACGTCTAACAGACATGGCTATTTCAAGAGTTTGTAATGTTGTACAAGTATAGCAACAAAATATGTAAATCCAGCTGCCTAATGAAAATCTTTATTGATCCTGTACTATGTGCTAAGTGATATTCTAGGCTCCAGAAATGCAAATATAGAAGACAAATCTTCATCTACAGGAGCTCATGAACTAGAGCTTAAAAGAAAAACAAACATAAAACCTGTCAGAATGAACAAGAAAACAACTGTGAAAAATAAAATCAAAGTATAGTATGAGCAGTAACAGAAGCCAGAGACAGGTAGAAAAATATTGCATAAAATATACTAATTTGTTCTGTTTAAAAATGATTCAGGTAAGGTTTCCCAGAGTGGATAAAATCAGAGCAAATTCAAAAGTTTAAAGTACAGCTTGACATCCTCTTCAATTAAATCACAACCTATTTTTGGACAAACGTCCACTTGGATCAGTGAAAAACAGAGAAGATGTCTGACAGAATGCTAGACATAAAGTGAGAATACTTCATCTCCCTTCTTGTATATTTTTAGAATAAATGTATGTCTTAGTTACTGCTGTAGTCACTGGGACAAAATACTTGACATCCACAACGTATCAGAGGACAGGTTTATTTTAGCTCATGTTTACAGTCCATAGTCAGCTGGCTCCAAGTTAGGATGCCATGGAAGACGGGCATGGTGGGGGACGGATGCTCATGGCATGATTGACAGCAGAGGGAGTAAAGGGAGGAGCAGGGAGCCCCTTCATGCCCCACCCACAGTGACCTGTCTCTTTCAACCAGACCTTGCCTCCTAAAAGCAAGTCAGCTATCAGAGGCCATAATCAAATCACCTCCTAAAAGCTCCACCAATGAGCACACGAGGCTCCTGTGGGACATCTAGATATAAACTGTAACATTCTGCTCTGTCCTCCACAAGACTCATGCACATCTCTTTATGCAAAATCCATTTAGTCCATGTCTAAGAGTTGCCAAAGTCTTAACAATTTCAGAATTGCTGAAAAAGTCCAAATTTGAAGTCTCTACCAAGACTTAAGGCAAACTCTTAATTGTAAGCCCTTATAAAAACAAAAAGTTAAACACTGCTAATATATAATGGCACAGGGCAAACACTCCCATTCCAAAAGAGAGGACTAGGGGAATAGAAACCACTGGGATCAAAGCTCAACTGAAACTCGGCCGGAAAACACTAAATCATACAGTCCATGTCTAGCTTAAGCTCCACATGCCTTGGCCAGCTCTGCCCCTACAGCATTGCCAGTGGTTTTAGCCCTCACAACCTCAGTCTTTAGATGATGGCTCTACTCACTTCCTGTGACCTTCCTCAACTGATGTTCCATGTTCTTGGCATCTCCAGCTTCTTAAGGTCTTCACAACACTTTTGGCTTCTCTCTCACAGCTTAAAGCACTGCCATCTTAGGCACACTGCTTGGCTTCCCAGGCCTACTTTTGAAATTTGGGTGGAAGCCTCTCTTAACTCACAACTCTTGAATGCTGTACGATTCTGTATGTCTATAAAACCAGTGACATAGACATTGACAAGGTCTGATGCCAGGTCAAGTAGTAGCCAGGCCATTTTACATCATGGCTGTAGTGGTCTCCAAGAGCCTGGATGGCTGAGCACTGTGGAATCCTGAGGAACCAATTCCTTAGGTGACCCTTTCCAAGCATGGTGCCCCAGGGCTCTCTTCTCAAATGAAAACTTCATAGCCTTGCATCCTCAAACATGCAATGAATGGGGTCTTACTAATTCCTTACATGCTCTCAAGCCATTGTTTTTATTTTGTTGCTGTTTCTATTATACTTGGCTTCTTTTTAAAGCTAAACTTTACAGCAACACAGGCTTTCCTCACTTGATCTTTGCAGATGTTCCCTTTCTGGCAAAACTAATTCAAATGGGCTTTTTGTGCCTGATTTTCAATATAAACCTGGCTGAAATCAGCAAGAAGTACCCATGATACAATCTGAATTTTGGCCTGATATATATATGCAGAAACACATTAACAAAATAGGAAAGACATACACGTGACAATAACAATACTTATTTGTGCAAGAGGTCATGAAGTTGTAGCTGGAATTTATAACCATTCATCTACTACCCATTCTGCATTCCCTAGGCCTTCAGCAAGCACTTCAGCAGGTCTTGGTTCTTTACCTAGCAGGGCGATTTATATCTTCATTCTTGAAGATTCTGGGCCATATGTCAACCTGCCTGGACTGAGTTGTGATTTCTCATTGACCTTAACCATACTAGGAGGCACCGTAAGGATCTTGGGCACTCCAAATATATTCTTCCTTTTCTCCATTGTGGAGTCCAATTTCCCCTTGGTAGTCTGGATCCATTACCCCTACCAACATCATGACTCCCTTTTTAGCTTATTTACTCAGAGACACAGGAGCCCAAAATGACAATGGAGAAGTCTGGGCTACCAAGTCACTGGAATCATTGTTGCGCTACCTGATACAAGCCTTCCACCCTCTGGAAGTAAGATGTCTAGGCTAGCAGGGCATAAAGTCATAGGAACAGGAAGCAAAAATTTTACTGGTGAGTCATTAAGGGTAATGGATATATATTTTGTATTAAATCTGTTCATCTAGTGAACCCTAACTGATACAAGGTAAAATACACAATGTAATTGTGTATTTTTAAGAGTACAATTCAGTGGTGTTTAGTACATTCACAATGGTTTCAGCCTTTACCAATGTCTAATCTTAGAGCATCTTCACCACCTCAAAAAGTCACCCTGTGTGCATTAAGCAATAACTGGCCTTTCCCATTTTCCCTCAGTGCATGGAAACCATTAATCTATTTTCTGTCTCTTATGCCTATTCTTCACATTTCATATAAATACAACTGTATAATATGTAGCCTTTTTACATTTGTATCCTTTCTCTTAACATAATGTTTGTAAGGCTCATGGATGTTGTAATATGAATCAATACTTCAGTACTTTTTATGGCTAAAATATACATATATATGTATACATCTATATATATCACATTTTGATTAGCTATCATCTTTTAATATAGATACTGGATTGTTTCCACATTTTGGCCTTTGTGAATAGTGATGCTATGAATATTCATGTACAAATTTTTATATTAATATGATTTCAGTTCTCTTGAGTATATAATTATGAGTGGAACTGCAGGGTCATATGACAATTCTATGTTTAAATGTTCTGAGGAGCCATGAAGCTGTTTTTCTACTGTGGCTGTACCATTTCATATTCCCACCATCAATGTATGAAGTTTCCAGTTTTTTAAACCTTACCAATGCTTATTTTCCATTTTTTGGTTATTGTAGTTTTGTGTGGTTGTTTTCTTTTGTTTTATAGCCACTGTGGTGAGCAGGAAATGCTATTCAATGTATTTTTTCATTTGTATTTCCTTGATGATTGATGATGTTGACCATCTTTATATATATGCTTATTGGCCTTAAATAGCTCTTCCTTAGGGAAATGTCTATATAGAGCTATCTTAAAATTGTGCTGCTTTTGTTGGTGCTGTTGGGAAACTGTAAAAGTTCTGTACATACTCTGGATCTGATTTCTTCCTTCCATTTTGAATGTTGCTTTATTTTCTTGAGCAGAAGTTTTGGTTTTGATGATTATAACATCACTTTTCTATTTTTGTGTGTGTGTATTCAAGAAATAGTTGCCTTATTCGAGGTCATGAAGATTGATACCTATGTTTACTTCTAAGAATTGTATACTTTTAAAACTTATGTTAAAGTTTTGATCTATTTTGAATTCTTTGTAAGTGATGTGAGATCCAGATTCATTCTTTTGCCTGTGGATATCCAGTTCTCCCAGCACCATTTGTTTGAAAGATTGTTTTCTACCCATTGAATGGTCTTGGTTGGCATCCTTGTTAGAAATCCAATATTCACAGATGTACAGTTTTATTTCTGGACTTCCAATTATATTTTATTGATCGATACATCTATCTTTATTCTAATACCACACTGTTTGCATTATTGTAGTGTTTTAAAAGTAAATTATGAAAGAGGGAAGTGTGAGTATGTCAACTTTGTTTTTCTTTTCCAGGATTTGGGGTCCTACATCTTGCTAATTCATATGAATTTCAGAATGAGCTTCTCCATTTGTTTAAAAAGACAGATTTTTGATAAGAGTATACTAAGTCAGTAGATAAATTTGGAGAGTTTTGACATCTGAATATTAATCCTTTAATACATAAACATGGATTTTTTTTCTATTTATTTAGTTCTTCTTCAACTTACTTAACCAATTTACATAAATATATACAGGTCTTAAGCTCCATAGTTAAATAAATTTTAAGTATTTTCTTATTTTTAATATTTTAAATTTAATTGTTTTATTAATTTTTTTCAGATTGCTCTTTGCTTATGTATAGAAATAAAATATATTTTATTGTTGATTTTACAGCCAGAAACTTTGCTAAATTCTTTTATTAGCTCCAATACTTTTATTATGGATAAAGGTCAGACAAATGACATTTAATCATGTCGTGGGAATAGATAGCATTTCACCTCTTGCTTTCCAATTTGGAGACATTTTACTTCTTTTTTTTCTTACTTTTCCTTTCTTCCTTCTATCTTTTCCTTCCTTCCTTCCTTCCTTCCTTCCTTCATTCATTCATTCCTTTCTTCCTTCCTTCTTTTTTCTTTTTTTCTTCTTTGTTGCCCTGACTAGAACTTTAGAACTTATAGTGCACTGTTGAATGGAAGAGGCCACAGTGGGAATTCTTGTCTTGCTCCTGGTCTTGGGGGAAAACTTTTGGTCTTTCATGTTGAATATGTTAGTTATGGGATTTTTTTTTTTTTTTTTGGTACTGGGGATCAAACTCAGGACCTTGCACTTGCAAGGCAAGCAGCAAAACCACTGAGCTAAATCCCCGGCCCAGCTATGGGATTTTTCACAGTTGGACCTTACCACGTTTAGAAAGTTGCCTTCTCTTTCTACTTTTCTAGGAATATGTGATACAGTGAAAACACTCAGAGAGACATTTACATCCCTACATGTCTACATTAAAAAAGAGAAACCTATGTCAATAACCTAAACTTCCTAAATAACTAGCAAAGAAAAAGCAAACTCTGAAGCAGTAACAGGAGAAAAGTAATAATGATTTGAGCAAAGGTAAATAAAAAAGAATAGAAAAATAATAGAATTAAAACCAAATAAGTAGTAAAAAAAAGCTACACATTTAGCTTAATTGATTAAGAAGAAAAGATAATTCAAGTCGCTAAAATTAAAAAAAAAAGTGGGGCTTCATTATCAACTTTACAAAACAAAAATAAGAAAATGCTATGAACATTTGTATAAAAAAGAATTTTATAACCTAGATGAAATTAACAAGTTCAACAACCACAAACTATGCACACAAACTATGAAAACTGACTCATGAAGAAAAACTGAGGAGACCTAAAAAAAGTAAGCAGATCAAGTCAGTAATCAAAACTTCCCAACAAAGAAAAGTCCAGTGCTATATGACTTCATTGGTGAAGCCTACTGATTGTTTTGAGAAGAACGTAAGTCTTTTTTCCAAAAAAACAGAAGAAAAGGAAATACTGTCTAATTTTTCTGTGAGTCCAGATCCTCTTAATACTAATGTCAGACAAAGACACTGCAATAAAAGAAAACCAGTATTGCTTAAGAATATTTATACAAGGCAGTCACCATGGCGTGTGAGACCAAGTGCTGACCTCCTTTGCAGAGGATCCTGTAACGTGGCAGGACCCGCTCAGATGGAAAAGTAATTCTTGCTGATAATAGCTATTGACTGCTCTTGGACTTTGAGGTGAGTTACTTTAGAAAACTCTGGTCCTACACTGGACCAGCAGACAACAGTACTGGGTCCCGCCACTCCCAGCCCAGAGGTAGGGGCTTCTGAGCCGCCGTCCCACTGGTCCTGGTCCAGAGGAAGGGGCTTCCTGGCTACCATCCCTCCCACTGCTCCCAGCGCAGAGGAAAGGGCTTTTGGGCCATCATCCCTACTGCCGCTCCCGGCCCCTGTCCCACCTCTCCCAGCTCAGAGGACTTAATCCGCATGGGTGCCAACAGCACCCCCCCCGACGCCCCAGTCGAAATGAGAAAACATGGAAATAAGTCTCAAAACTAGACTTCCAGATCACCTACAGCAACCCCAAAGGGAAATGAGATGGAACACTCTGATACTCAACCAACTGGACCCACTGAACTGGCAACAAAAGGG